AAAAAAAAAATTCATAGGGTGATCACGATGACTTGGGAGGCTGAAACAGGATAATCGCAAATTCCAGACCAGCCTTGACAAGTTAGTGAGACTATATCTCAAAATAAAAATCAACAAGGGCTGGGGATGTAACTTGGTGCTCTTCTAATTATGAAAATGGGAAACAAAACTATATCCAGTTCTGTTCATGACACTGCAATCAATCAGAACGTACTAAGTAAAAAGGTATTAATAATTAAGATCCTAATCAATGTAAAAAGCTGAATTTTACATAATTCATTTATGTACATTCCTCCCTATTATTAGAACAATTAATGTTATCTTAGAAACGGAATAGATAGGCTCCTGCGATATTTTTCTCTTGGGTGGTGTGTTTGCAGACAGGGCAGGTACTAGTTCATGTTGCAGGAGATTCCTGGGCTCGCTAAATTGGGGTTCAATTAGATGCATTCTAAAGTCTTTCAGTTAAAAAATTCCCTATCTGTAAGACGTGAAAAATAAGAAAACATTTTGTTCTTCAATTAATCGGATTTGCTTTCACTCCCATTCTAACAGTTCACCTACATAACTCGAAAGTTATTTCTCCCCTTTCTGTGCAGAGATTTCACGAGACTTTCGCAAACAAAAGGCACGGAAAATATGCACAGGTGGGATAAAAAGGGGAGTGGCCGAGGCCGCGCGGCTCTCGGGACAGCGCCCCCACGCTGTGGGTTTCTCCTGCCGCACCTGAGAAATCACTGCCCTCCACACCTCCACCCTCCCGTGGCAGCGTCGGGAACAAATTCTCAGACCTATTACCCTCCACCTGCACCTTGGCCAGATACTGGGCATAGTCTGGAGCTTCCAGAGCCCAAGAAAGGCAAGGAGAAAAGAGAAAGAAAAGGAGAGAGGACGAGAGAGGATAAAGAACGGAAGGGAAATAAAGCAACCCAGCGGCCGCGCGCTCCTTTTGACAAAATTAGATTCCCCAAGGATCACTCAATCTAATTCAGATCACAAAAGCCAATGCTGCAGCCCAAGGGCTGAAGCCGGGGTAACCCAGTAGGAGTCCCCCAAAGGTACGCCGATCAGGAGAACTAAGGCACGGAGAGGGAAAATGGGTGTGTGGACTGGGCCTGGCTGGCCGGTGGCCGGGCTCCGAACAAAGCCGCCCAGCTCCCCCTACC